AGGGCCCCGAAGCCACAGACGGCCCAGCTTGGGGCATGGGGACTGCACGCCCTCCCCTGCAGCCGCGCCTGCTCACCCCTTCCTTTACTAAAGGTTCTGTGGTCCTGGGGCACACCTCCCACCTTCCTTATAGGGCAGCAGCTCCGAGACTATCGCTATTAGGTGGGTGCGTGGAGTGGGGGTGTCCTGCTTACCCAGTGGCCCAACGCTAACACAGGGCCTTCCAGTGAGCAGAGGCTCGGGGACTTTGGGAGAGTAAATGAGCCAGGGAGCACAAATGTCATATATTACTATTTAATTTCTTCTACATCCTTGAAGAAGCTAAGAAAATCTACATACATATCTTTTTTCATACAACTATAGACTAAAGATTATAAGAGAATACAAAAATTAACCATTAAAATTATTTTACGTATTTCACTCCTAAATTTGTTCCCATTTCCAAGGAGATATTTATTCTAATGTCATGGAAAGTTACAAGCTACAAAGAATATGTTAGGTTTTCCATCTTGTTTTACAAAATAGCAAAACTTTCTAATCAACCAGATAAACAGCAGTAAATGTGTGAGCAATGTCAATCTACAATTCAATTCTGATAAGAAACTTTCTAAAACAAGTAAAATCTGAAAATACAAAAAAGAAAAAAAGAAAAATTGCCCCAGCCTTGCCCTACACCGCTTCGGTCACTGACTGACCTTTGACAACAGAGAGGGAACAGGCTGCATAGACGTCACTCAGGGCAGAAGACAGAGGACGTTACACTAGAACTTGCTCTGACCACGGTGGGAGCATCGTCTGCGGCAGCAATGCTAGCCTGGCCGGGCCCTTCCTGATCTCACAAAGCCTCCTCATAGCAGGTCAGAGAGGCATTAGGGGTGCTAACTTTGACCTTGGCCATACCCTCCAGGACTTTCACCATGTGGTTCTCCATGCATGCCCTGCGGCCCCAGAGCATGTGGAAGCGAGTGGGATTGCTGTCGGGCACCTGCTGGTACTCCAGGTACTGCTCCTTCACCCAGACCTGGGCGATGAGCTCCCTGGGGTCCCCGAAGATGACATGCTCCCTTCTGGGAAATATCCCTATGACACCCAGCATTTCCCACACCTTTTCCTCAGGGGCCGAGCCACCCCCCATGAAGATTATGCTGAGGAGAAACAGCAGGAGGCTGCTCATGGGCAGGCTCTGCTCATAGCTCAGCTTCCTGCTGTAGGTGAGGCCCGGGGCTGTGACCAGGATGTAGGAGTGGTCGCTGGGATCCCCTTCCTCCACGTCGATGCCAAAGGCCAGCTGCAAACACTCGGAGACGCAGCTGAAGATCACAGGGAACTGGTCCTGGTGATCCTGGCCCAGCACCTCCAGCAGCTCCGCCCTCGTGGTTGGCTCCTTGGTGTGGTACTTGAGGAGCAGGACGGCCACCAGCTGAGCTGCCTTGTCGTGAATCACGATTCTGGGAAAGAATCTAGCTCTTGGCAGGGACTGCAAAGTGCCCAGAACCTCCTCCATTGCGCTGCTGGAGCCACCATCGGATTTTGTGGGTGGCACGGAGGCAGAGGCAGTGGGGGAGGGGCAGGCACGCTCAGGGCCCTGAACGGGACTCGGGGTTGGTGAAACCATAGAAACCTCTTCCTCACCGCTTGAGATAACAAGACAGCAAGAGGGGGAGTAGGGGGAGGAGGCGGAGCACATGGAGGAGGAGGAGGAAGCAACCTCCTCTGTCGCCCCAGGGTCCTGTGCACCCACGAGGCCCTGGGTCTCCGTGAGGGTCGGAAGGCCTTCCTCGGGCATGTAGCGCCGTCGCTTCGGGGGAGGACCAGCCATGACTTGTTGAGCAGCTGGAGGGAAGGAGAAACAGCAGGAGGTGGGTGC